GGTCCCATTTAAAAATGACCCACAGCAAATTCCTTAGGGCATAAACAAAGCAGGATCGATTCATACATTCAAAACTAGGCAATCATTTGTAACACATACAGATAAGAAGAAAGAAAGAAGAAAGAAATAAGTCACGAATTATAAATTGCATAAAATTCAAAGATATTGACATTAAGTTACGTGCATCAGAATGTGGAAAATCACTGTCCAGTGGAGGGTCTTTCAGTTGCTGAGCTGAGACATTCTTTCTGCAGTACCTTGGAACTGGTCAAAGCTTGTCATTAGTTCACTTTGCAGATTTTTGAGAGAGATTGAGACTGGAAATTGGTATGAACTAAACTTGGAGTTGCTTTGCTATTTTCTCTTCTGGTGTTAAGAGCAGTCTGCAGAAAGATGCAAAGCTGTATAATTAAACCTGTTCAAACCCAGCAGTTTCAATCATGCTAATAGGGCTTATGGTTTAGTCACCTCAATTCTCAGAATTGCTTTGATGATCCCTCTTTCAAGCCCATAGTAGAGGATAACTGAAGGTGCATTTGCCCCAACTCAAGCATACTTGCCTTCATTTGTCAGAACGTTGAGTATAGGAGTTGGGATGTCATGTTACGGCTATAGAGGACATTAGTGAGGCCACTTTTAGAATACTGCGTACAATTCTGGTCATCCTTCTGTAGGAAGGATGTTGTTAAAATTGAGAGATGCAAGAAAGTCATACAAGGTTGTTGCTGGGACTAGAGGGTTCGAATTATAGGGAGAGACTGAATAGTCTGGGTCTTTTTCTCCTTGGAGTGTCAGAAGCTCAAGGGCAACCTGACAGAAGTTTACAAAATTATGAGCGGCATGGATAGGGTGAATAGCCAAGGTCTTTTTCTAAGTTGGGGGAGTCTAAAACTAGATGGCATAGGTTTAAGGTGAGAGGGGAAATATTTAAAAAGGGCCTGAAGAGAAACTTTTCCACGCAGAGGCGGTCATGTATGGAAGGAGCTGCCAGAGAAAGAGGTGGAGGCTGGTACAATTACAGCATTTAAAAGGCGTCTAGACCTGGAAGGACATACAAATAGAAAGGGTTTGGAGGGATATGGGGCAAATGCTGGCAAATGGGACTCGGTCAGATTGGGATGTCTGGTCAGCACAGATGAGTTGGACCGTAGGGTCTGTTTCTGTTCTGTACAGTATGACTGTATGACTCTACAATGGGTTTTGATGGCTTTCTTTTATACCAAAGCCAGCTGTGGAGGTGCATTGTCTGTAGCTCCTTTGTGTTGGTTTGACTGGAACGTTCTTACCATTATGAGATGTGACATTCCAAAAAAGATGATTTTGCCTTTGTCATGGTAATTGCTGGATATTTCTAGAAGCAGCAATTTGCCCATTCTGTGTTTGATAACAGACATTTTATATTCAGCAAATTCCATTTTTTACTATTGAAAGAGAAAGTTAAACAAGATATGGTTTCAAATAAGATTTTTTTTTACGCCTTTGGGCATGACATATTATATGTCCACTTAACATCCTCCTCACATCATTTTCAACACTTCAGTGAATGATGCAGAAATAAGACACACCACAAACCAAATGTTTTCTCTTCACTTTTACCATTTTACTGATGTGAGCAATGGCACCAAGATAGTATCGCATAACATCTCACAGGTTGCATTTCCAGAGGTATCGTTCCTACATTGAATATTAGTTCTAAAATTAGGAAGCGCAAGATTGATTCCTTTCGATATGGGCCACTGGGTGGTGATGTTCTAAGATTAAAATCTTGACAATGTTTTGTGCCCTATCTATTGGATGACATTTAGAACTAAAATGTAGAGAAACCTGGAAAGACCTTCTGCATACTGAGTGAATTTTGAACAGTGAAGCAAAATGAAAATCAAATTAATTTTCTAAGAAATTAATATATCTTGACTGTGGACTGGAAATGTGTGACCAGCGGTGTGCCGCAAGGATCAGTACTGGGTCCATTGCTTTTTGTCATTTATATGAATGATTTGGATGTGACTATAGGAGGTATGGTTAGTAAGTTTGCAGATGACACCAAAATTGGTGGTGTAATGGACCGCCAAGAAGGTTACCTCAGAGTACAACAGGACCTTGATCAGATGGGCCAAGGGCCGAGGAGTGGCAGATGGAGTTTAATTTAGATAATTGTGAGGTGTTGCATTTTGGTAGGGAAGATCAGGGCAGGATATATACACTTAATGATAAGGTCCTGGGGAGTGTTGCCAACTGAAGAGATTTTGGAGTACAGGTTCATAGTTCATTGAAAGTGGAGTCGAAGGTAGACAGGATAGTGAAGAAAGTATTTGTTATGTTTGCCTTTATTGGTTAGTGTATTGAGTATAGGAGTTAGGAGGTCATGTTGCGGCTGTACAGGACATTGGTTAGGACACTTTTGCAATGCGGCATTCAGTTCTGCTCTTCCTGCTATGGGAAAGATGTTGTGAAACCTGAAAGGGTTCAGAAAAGATTTACAAGGATGTTGCCAGGTTTGGAGGGTTTCAGCTATAGGGAGAGGCTGAATAGGCTGGGGCTATTTTCCCTGGAGCTTTGGAGGCTGAGGGGTGACCTTATAGAAGTTTATAAAGTCATGAGGGGTATAGATCGGGTGAATACACAAGGGAGTCCAAAACTAGAGGGCATAGGTTTAAGGTGAGAGCAGAAAGATTTAAAAAGGGATCTAAGAAGCAACATTTTCATGCTGAGAGTTGTGTGTGTATGGAGCAAGCTGCTGGAGGAAGTGCTGGAGGCTGGTACAATTACAACACTTAACAGGCATGTGGATGGGTATATAAATAGAAAGGGTTTAGAGGTATAAGGGCCAAATGCTGGCAAATAGGACCAGATTAATTTAGGAAAACTGGTTGGCATGGACAAGTTGGACTGAAGGGTCTGTTACCTTGCTGTACAACTCTATGACTGACGTATAACTAGATTGCCAGGAAATGTTACCCTGAGTTTATGATTATATTTGAATACAAATCCCACTTAAACATCTGGCAATGCAGAACATTGTACAATGATCTAAAATCCTAAATTAATCCTTGATTAATATTAGCTTCCAAATCGCTAATTAATCTTTATATTATTTTGATCCTGAGATATTGTTTACTCAGCTCTTGATAGCAGTCCTATGAAGCTCTTAGATTTCATAGTAATTGGTTCATTAATGTTCTTTGGGGAAAGAAATCTGTAAGCCTTGCATGTCTGGATGATGTGTAACTACATTCACACACAATGTAATCAACTCTTAGCTGCTCTTTGAAACAACCTTGAAAGTCAGTCAGTTCTTTCAAGTCCCTTGAGCAGTTCTACCATCACTTTCCTCAGCAAAAGTAGGGATTGGCAATAAATGCAGTCTTGCCAATATTGCCCACATCCTGAGAATCAATTTTTATAAAATTAATGTTTCCAATTTAGATTTTTTGCAAGAAATATATTCTGAGCTTTGGTTGTATTCTGTAGATTAAATTCAATTCATTGTTTGATATATTTTCTCACCAGTTTAGTTTGCATCATACACTGATCCATTTGTATTCCTATCTCAATGTATCATAAAATAGATATCCACAAGCAGAAGTAAAAATTCACATTTTGGTAACATCTTTTTGACAAACCAAACCTTGCTCATTCAAAATAGTAAATCAATTATGACATAATGATGCAAAATAAGAAGCAGCTTAAACAAAATACAAAAGTCTCAGGACTCTCTTTTAAAAAATCATTCAAAGGAAATGGGTGTTGCTGACAAGGCCAGCATTTGTTGCCCACCCACAATTGCCTTTGAGAAGGCACTGATGGAAGATACTCCGAAAGAATGTTTGGATAGTCAGTTAATTAAATGAAGTGAAAAATAGAAACCATCATCTGTGGTGTCTCACTTATCTAGCAACCTCAATACTGAAATACCTTTAATGGCAACCTTGTACACAAGTTGACTGAATGCTTACTTTTCTGTCAATGAAGATTCATGATTGTTCTGACAATCTTATTTGATTAGTTGACCTGCTAAAAAACAATCAATAACAATCCCAACAACTTGCATCCACATTGGTGAGAATTACAAAGTTTCCTCCTCTGGATGATTTATTGATAACTTTCCTTCTGGAGCTTTGCGCATTTGTGGATATTCACAATATTCAATATGATTCAGAGCTTATACAGAAAATTGTCATCTTTTGTATCTATTTGTCAGAAATGCATTGTTTGTGGAATTGGGCTATGTAGCTTTGCCATTACAGGTGTCAATTTTGGTGCCAGAATGGCATTTGTGACATGCATGCACATGTTCAGCTGAATGCCATCATATAATGACATTATAATGACATTATAATGCAATGCAGATTTACAACAACTTAGACATTTTCAACCTCCCACTCCAGGGAACACCATCCCTTAAAAGACAAATGACTGAATGAGCATTCATCAGCAGGAAGGAACTCCCCCTACCCCTCCCCCAGCCCATCCATCCACCACAAGAGTTACTTAGAGGGACCATCAACCACCTTCACGTTAGTGGCTGATTAATTTCTGCTGGCTCTGCTTGAGTTTATCAAAGTGCTTGGCAGTTTGCTGAGTTTGTAAAGTTTGGGAAGTCAACAGGGATTTGTACTGCACATGGAGAAGGCTTTGGTGCTGATCACTTGGGCTTTACTTGCTCCCAGTCATAATGCTAAAGTTTGATTGAGAATGAGATTAAGGAGAGGCAGAAGATGACAAGCTGTCGGCAGAGGGAGGTGAACAAGAAGAAGAGCTCTCAGTAGGGGACCTTATCTACCCAGAGTCTTCCAGGACCATTTGTTTTCCTTTATTTATGCTAAGAGCAGCGCACTTCATCTGTGCGTTATAAAGGGGGTTCTCCAAGAATCAAGTTCAATCAAACTTTTCCTGCCATCGGGTTTTATTTTTAACATCTGTGTTAAAATGAATGCACTGATTTGTAGCAGATACATTTGTGTGTTAATATTATTTATTTATTTTTTGCTGTTGATCAGTTTCCTAGGTGTACCTCCTGGGAGGGGAAGTTGTCCTCTGACTGCACCATTGTCTTTTGACCTAATATACACGGATTATCACGGACTTCAACAAATGAAACAAAACATGGGCCTTTCTTTCAAAAAGTACAAGTGAGTAAGTTAAAATTGTCAGATTGTGAAATAGTTAGAAAAGTACAATTGCAATTGGAAATCAACAAAATAAAAAATACATTTACTTTGATGAATTTTGATTTTGCTGATTAAAAATTGTATGTCTATGATATTTTAGTGTCTAATAATTTGTATCTGCACATGTAGAAAGCTCTTAGTTTGTTAACATGATTGACAATTAAAGTTGAGATTGTGTTACATGAACAAAGGAAATCTGGAGCAGTGACAGCTCTTTAAATTGATCTTGTACATGATTTTTTAAGTTAGTTACATTTGGCTAATGACCAATGAATAATTTTCATTGATAAAAGAGAGCTTTCATTTTACATTATAGAAAAATATTAAGTTTCTCATCATTTTTAGTGCATTTTGTCATTTTTAAATCATTCACACGGTGTGACCGAAGATTTAGAAAATAGCACTTTTTAAATTTCAATTTTAAGTCATGGATTGTGCGTTCCTAGTGGACCAATAAATTACTTGGATAATACAATGGTGATGAGAAAACACTAAGTATTGATTTCAAAAACAGTAATTTCTAGAACTTCAGAATTTTGTATCTATATCCCAGTGGATATGTTTTGGCATATAATTACCTGGGATGCAATTTATTTTTTTAACAATTATCACACTTACTGTGGAACCAAAAGGGACATAAATACCCTGAAAGACACACAAATCCAATTTCCTAGAAGGGAAATCTCAAATGCCAACAGGATTATAATTGGAAAGTGAAGATGAAAGGGAATCCATGGACAAACATCATGTCCATTCCATAGGATTTGAACATCATAGTCTTAAAACTGCAGTCCAAACTTGTTGTCCATTGGATTAATTTTTTTATCTGGTTGTTGATTTACAATTAGAGCTTATCAGTCAAATTTCACACAAGAACAGTGATTCTGTCGATTCCAAAAAGAAACTAGGGGTATGCTTTTCAATTTAGTACCACTTGCACAGAACTTTGTACACTTGGAGCATTTATCTCCAACAAGAGAAAATCTAACCATATCCCTTTGACTGCTTATGGCATTTTCATCACTGAATACCCCAACATCATCATCATCATCATCTTGGCAGGAAACAATGTCCAGAATCTTAACACAACCAGCCACACACATACTCTGGCTACAAAAGTCAGTCAGAGGCAGGATACTCTTCAGCTAGTAACTCTCTTTTTTCCAGTGCCTTTCCAACATCCACAAGCCATGTGTCAGACATATGGTAGAAGGCTTTCTACTTGCCTGGATGAGACCAATTCTAACAATACTCAATAAATTTGACACTATCTAGGAAAAATCAGCCTGATTGATTGCTCCCCATTCAATACCTTAATCATTCATTTCCTCCACCACTGAAGTACCATGATTGCAGTGTATGCCACCTACAAGATTGTTCTGCACCACCCGCGCAATCTTGTTGACAAAACCATGGCCTCTAATACCAAAAAGATCATAGGCAAGGCGGCACACAAGAAAACTACCACCTGGATGTTGCCCTCCTGGTTACACATTATCCTGACTGAGTAATCCATCTCTCTTTCTTCATTATCAATGGGTTAAAACCCTGGAACTCCATCCCCAGGAGCACTGAAGAAGTAGCTTAACCACACAGACTGCAGCAGCTCAGGAAAGTGATTCACCGCCCCCTTCGAGGGAAATTCTGGATGGGCAGTGAATGACAGCTTTTCCATGTTGGCTGTAGGTGAACAAAAATTTAAAAATTCAATGCAATGGTTAAAGCCACCCAATTTGCAACCACGCAATTGCCTGCCCATTCACTTTATAACCTTGCAACCTGAATTAATCTTGTGCACTGTTGTTGGAAAGCTGTCCAGCAGGAATAGTAAGTTATATGTTCATCTGACAAAAAGTGTCTTGACCAAAGAGTCCTATGATGATGCTGTCACTTTTAAAAGGTTATTTTGTCCTAGGTTCTTAAAGAGAGATTGTAAAGACAGAGGCATCGATGTGTCTACTGAAACTGGCCTAAGTCAATAACTTTAGGCTTTATTTAAAACAAACATAACAGTGGAAGGGGAGTGGCCAGTTTTTCCAGGTTAGGATTTCTAGTTTTTTTTATCTGTAGCAGTAGAAGCTGTTTGGGTCCCAGAAGGGTTGCAAGCTTCAGTAAATGATTTCTAATTGTGAATTCCTCTGAAATCTCTCTTGATGTTGAATGCAATGTAACAACCTGTGTTCGAATGTACCTTTTTTCCAAGGGGTGTGTTTGTGGGATGTTACCGTATTGGAACAATTAATTAGTAATAGGTACTGTATCTAAAATTCTGCTTAAGTTTTCCAGTAGTTAAGTTGTTCTAAATTCCTCTTTCATTTGTTTGTATTCTAACTGTAGTGTTTAAGTTGTGTTTTGCTTAACATCAAGTGCTTTGATCAGTTGCATCACATCTAGAACACCCACTTCACATCTACCTTTAAAATAAGAAAAAAATAGCGTCTAGGCTACCTTCTTAAAATATTTTGAGGCAGTCTGGTCTGATCCATAACAGTCCAATTACATATAGCATCTTGGCAAATCTTCTCAAAATGACAAAATGAAGAACTGAGATAAATGGATATTAGGAATCGTGTGAAATCCATGTAGAAGTTCTTCAGAGAAGTTTGCTACCCCCAGCTCTACTTTCAGTACCATGAATGCTCTGATACTATTAAAATGATAGTTTTCAATTTGCTGATGATAGTACCTTGTACAGTCCACTTTCCATCCAAAAGACAAGTGTCAACTGTAGACAGAATCACTGAAGACAGAACTGAATCATAGCAGAAAACACTAGTCTTGAATGTAAAGAAGGCCAAGTCAAGAAGACCAACTCCTTTGTTAAGAAAAATATAATCACAACATAAGTTCCTTTCCTCCACTGATAACCAATACAGATATTTAGATTCATAACTCCTCATCATATTCAATCACCTTCCTGCAAAAAGAGCAAAATCAAAAAAAAAGCTGGAAAATCTAACACACGGGTGTAGATCCTTCAACAGGTACAGTATTATCACTGTTGACAACTGCAATTTTCCTAACATCTGAACAACTTAAACAAAAATACAGAAGACTTTATTGGCATGCTTTCAATAAAAATCCCATCTCTTAAATTCAGCAAAACTCAACACAATTAATAATAATGCATTAGGTAAGAATGCCCATTCCACCTTGGAGTATACTTCCTGGAACAATGAAGGAATGTTTTTGGCTTCCAGTTCTTTTTAACATCATAACCAAACAACCATGATTATAATGAAAATATAAGAAATAGCAAATGGAGAAGTCCAAAAAAAGCCCAAAATGAAGCTGAAGCAATACCAAATTCAATAGCAGAGAATTATTACTTCATAGAATCCCTACAGTGCAGAAAGAGGCAATTCAGCCCATCAAGTCTGCACTGGCCCTCTGAAAAACATCCCACCCAGACTCAGCCCCCAACCCCTCCTCTTAACCCTACATATCCCATGGTTAATTCACCTAACCAACACATCCCTGGATAATACGGGCAATTTTAGCATGGCTGTTAGAAGAAACCAGAGCACCCAGTCGACACCCACAGAAACATGGGGAGAACATGCAAACTCCATGCAGTCACCCAAGGCTGGAATCAAACCTGACTTCCTGCCGCTGTGATGCAGAGGTACTAACGACTGTTCCACCTTCAGATCACTATAGTCCACAGTTATCTTTGAAAATCCATTACTTGACATTTGATAATAAGTATAAAATGTTTATGCACTTGCAAATTTGTTAAATATTAACTATTTCATCATTAAAAATTTCTCAGTTGCACCTTACAGTTGTGCCAGCGAAGAACAGTGTAAACGTTAGCCTACAAATTACTGTTGGTGACATGGGCAGATAATTGCTTAAGTCATTTTTTTAAAACAACTAAGTTTTGACACTTGTCTTAAGATAATTGATGCAAAAAATGTCTGATTCAAGTGGTAATGATTTACCCATTGATATCAGCATTGATCATATTGTTAATTGAAAGCAGTGGTATAATAATAAGAGTAGCAAAATGCTTATGGATAAATTAAGTCTTAAGTATGGGGCCCAACAGCAAAATGCTTCCAGATTCTGACTTCCTTTGAAGTGAGCAATATGGACATTTGAAATCTGAACCTTAATATAAAATGCAAAGTGCCGATTTATGTGTTCAGTGAAATTGCTCTATCGCTAGTCAACAGGCACAAATCAATGTACGTATTTGTTGTGTAGATAAGAGGCGAACACATTTATTCAGCATGAACTGAGTAATTCAACCTGCATTCAAAAGAACTTTTGGACATCACTTAAGTAATTGAATGGATTAAAAAAAGGCTATCAAATGAAGTAATTGTACATGTTTGTTACACATCCCCTATGACTTTTAAGATAATAGCTTTCTGGGAAGAACAAGCTGTATTTAAAGAGCAACATGTCTGCAAGGTGAAGTACATGTTTGGTATTTGAACAATGACTTGCATTCAGTACCTATGGCCTCATCTGCTGCTGTTGAAATTATTTTCCAACTTTGTTCTACATCTCTTCTGCTGACATCGTCAGTAGTATTAACATATTGCCTTGCTGGCCATTCTTATTTCCCTTCAAGCTTGTTTGTCTCTTGCATGCATCTGTTTTCTGGTTTCTCATTCTCACCTTTTATTATGATTCTTTCCTGCTCTCTATTTGGAATTCATTTTCCATAGTATGGCGATATCAGCTCTGAACCTTTAAAGTGCTGAGTACTTTATAGACCATAAAATCAACAGTAGTAACTTGATAACTGCAGCACCTCTACAACCATGCCATAGCTTAAGACAAAGAGTAATACTACTTTAAAAAGGTACTGGAGTAATTGGGTTTAGCAAAATATAATGACGCTTATGTTGGCTTGTTGAAAGTAAACTATTCCTGAACTGATCAATATAACACAACTGCGTAATGTGGTTGTAATACTTAATGACTTTTTCTGTCTGAACTGTCTCTAT